CTAAGTTTGTTATTGTTATTAGTATTCTGAGATGGCAAAATAATTGGTTAGCGTTATGAATAATCATTTACATGTTCATTTGATTGTTCATTCAGTTTGGTTTAAATAATGCGATTTGTGACAAATAATTGTTTAAAATTAGTAGTTGTTTTTACAAAGTTAAGTGGCATGCATCATAGTGTGAATTTTGAAGGATTTCTAATCAGGTGCCATATAGAGAACCCATTTTATGTTCCTTCAGCCAGTGTAATTGCTTTGGTGTCCTAGCGGGGATAGTATCTTGCGTGACACTGGCTAGACAAACATCATGAACATTTTCAGAGAGCTTATTCTCTGTTCCCAAGCCTGCTCATCAGTGCCTGGTTGAAATGGCAAGGAATGTAACTGCCCTTAGAGCCCACTGTAGTGTTTGATAGCCTTGCCTTTGTGAAGCCAAATGCCCCTTATTGTTTTCATAGAACAACCCTCATTAATATCCTCATTTAGGTTTATGTCTCTTGACAGCCACATTTGAATAGCATCCATTTATGTTCTTGATTAGCAGCTCGCAGGATCTGTTTATGAGCCTCTGTCTTGATATTTCAAGCCATGTCTGAGGTTGCTTCATCCTGTTTGTGTTGTTCTAACATCTAACATTCAAACACGAAAGCCTTTTGCTTAATACTAATTAATGTGATCGTCTACAACACCAAATCTCAAACAAAGCGAATCACGCTCACTGCAGGAACACACCATGGGCTTGAGCCCCTTAGCTTGAGGGCACTTCCTGCCAGTTTGGGGTTTTTAAATTCCCTCCTCAAAGCCTCGGCAGTGTAGTGAATAAGACGCCTCAACTCTACACCCACTTACACTCCCCTCCCCTCCCCCCCAGTCCAGTTCATCCCACACCTCCATTGTGGTCGTATTATCCCTGTTCTGTGCTTTTGGACCTTGAATCGCTCCCCATCCTCTCTCAGGAAGCCACTGTGATTGATTGCTTGGTTTGACCATATAAGGTTACAGTTGCTAAGTAACCTTTTGGACCTAGTCTCAGCATTTGGCAGCATTTGATATAGGCGGAGGGCCTCACCTGTCATTCAAGGGGGCTAGTGTTGCCCGGTAACTGTCACTGACAATTTCTTGCATATTTCTGTAGCTGTAGTATCTAAAATTGATTTTTGCATAATCAGAAAAATTAGTTTTCACTAAAGTGAAATTTATCTTTTTCTCATTCTCATGGCATCCAAAACCTGTTAGATTTTCTTTGGACTGCAGTAAGGTTTGTCATTCAAGGGGGCTAGTGTTGCCCGGTAACTGTCACTGACAATTTCTTGCATATTTCTGTAGCTGTAGTATCTAAAATTGATTTTTGCATAATCAGAAAAATTAGTTTTCACTAAAGTGAAATTTATCTTTTTCTCATTCTCATGGCATCCAAAACCTGTTAGATTTTCTTTGGACTGCAGTAAGGTTTCAACTAAGGATTTTTTTTTTTTTTTGATAATTGATTAATCTGATTATTAATTTAATTTGTTTCAATTTCAAAATAAAATAAAAAAATCCATTATTTACTAGTTATTTTAGAAAAGTATATTTGAGTCGGAATTAATACACGCCTAATCTATTGCACTGTTTGTTTGATGCATATGCACGCCTGGCTCTCATTTACTATAGTGTGAAGTTGAACAGAGATTAAAATAGGGCTGCACGATTAATCAAAATTAAATCGCAAAGGCGATAAATCGCGATTAGGCAGAAGCTGCGATTGTCATGCGTATCTTTCAGTGAAGCACAGTTCTGTGATCAGTAGTAAATCTCCATCCAAAGTCAGAGGGCGCTTTCACACTGAAACTCCAAATACGCCCCGCAGAAGAAATCAAGAAATTCCTATAGCGGTTGCTGAATAAACAGAAGATTTAACTGCTTTCATTGATTCAACGTGACTAAACACACGACTACGACAATATATATTGTTTATCTGAGTATTATATTATTAGTTTGAGTTTTTATTATAATGAAGTATATAATAATGCAATGCTAATCGACATTATATCACTGCATAACCTTTATCACTGCTTAGAATACTATGAAATATGTTGCGTGTCTTATTGTGTAAGAAGCCACATCATCTCACAGAAGGATTTATTTCAAATGCTCGTCTGACGTTATGAAGTGAGTTTGGAGTAAAAACATGTTAGTAAATGTGGTATTTTCACGTGCTTTCAGATAGAACAGCATTTGCTACACAGAGCCGTAGTTCACTGACAAGCTGCGTAAACATAAAACCATGTTGCAAATGACAAACAACAAGCGCTACTCTACACTGCTCAAAACTTGCGTTTGAATCATCAGTGGCAAATTCTTTAATATAAAAAATGTACTTGCAGTCTGTGAGTCAGAACAGCCGGCATTGTAGTCTACTCTACCAGGATCAGGAAACAGTCCTACATAAAATGTGCTGCACACATCTGAATATTTGGGTTGAACTGTTCTGGAACAGTGTTGTAAATACAACTTAACCACTGATTTCTAGTCGTGTCCTCTTTTGGAAGGCCAAACAAAGTTTCGCTTTCACAATGAAACACAGCATCACAAGTCTTTGCAACTTTACAGATCTTCTTTATGCACCAAGAGCTTGTATCACTTCAAAGAGAAAGGAAAAAATCAGATTAGTTTTTTTTTTCATTATTGATTTTCATTGTTTAGTTGTTGTAGCCCTATTCTGCAAGACACACAAAAAACTTTTCACCATGCAAAGCAACATTGGGTGCCACTCACCCCCAAAAAGATGAGTTGTTTTTCAAAATATTATCTCTAGAGCCCGACCGATATATCGTTTTGCCGATATTATCGGCCGATATGAGCCTGTCGCCGATATATCGGTATCGG